GATGTTAGCGTTAGAGTGTTTGAAGTGACATTTGAGTGAAATAAAGAGGATGTTGGTGGGTGATTCGCTATCAAGATAAAAGAAAGAAATATGAGCTGATCATTCTCAGCGCCCTTACATGTAGTCAGCTCCTACATCCTTAGCCATGGATAAGGTAAAGTACACATTAACCATGCCCTACCATAATGTTTCATAATTTATAAGGTGTGAATCACTTCGCTTACAGAGCTCTACGAAGAGCACTACGTCTTCCAATAGTTCCCGTGTGAATGTAGGACCACCTTCAACGAGTTTGCCACAACCAACACCAGCGAAACATCCACAGTTGGCAAAGGTGAGAGAGACTAGTGAGATTTGTGGGCTTAGAGGTCTAGTATTTGATTCAAAGATTTCTTCTTTTCTCATCGCTTTTTGAGCAACTTAATTGACCTCTGAATTTTGACTATGTTGAAGTTGTAAAACAGCGTTTCTGTTTTTTCAAAGCACCAACAGACCATTCTTATGTAGCATAAACCATACACTTATAACAACTGGCATTTCAATTTAGTATTTCTATGTTTTTTCTACCAATTTCTCTGGTCTTTATTAAAATATAAGTCATAATGATATCTAAATTCGGACGCTTTGAAATGAACTCATTTGAACTAGGAAAAAAATGGTTGTGTTTGTAAATCACAAAGTTTCCACAGAAAAAAATTTATATTATTCTGAATCGCACCTAATTTAATAACAGGCTCCGTGTTATCAAATATGCACAAAGTTTGACATGTTGGAAATGATCTAAAAAACTGCGAAAAAAAATGCAGTGCAGAGAACATCTGCAGTTAGATTTTGGGAAGAAAAAACACCATATGCGTTTGAAAAGTTGATGGAACTGATGTAAGTATTCAACAACAGAGAGTCAGGCAAGGCTTTTTTTCTTGCCAATATTGATGTGACAGTACTGCTAGTGCTGTTACATCCCACACTACATGGGTAAAAATTTCAAATTCAATGATTTTGTTTCCTAGTGCGTTACCGTAAGATTACGGCAAGTGGAACTGGAGAAGGCCTTAACCACAGAGGCACTTGTCAGAGTGAAAACTGGCGTGTTTAGAACAAGATAACTTGTTTTGTTAACAAATCTGACCACTGTGTAACATGTTAAACAGGATGCATTTTTCACCTTTTCTTGTAATGCCTTATATGATTCGCATGTTTGAAACAAATGATTATTGTTCAAACTGCCTAAACATGTAAATTTCTGTTTAACATGTTGAAAATAACGGAACTCTCATGTTTCCACCGTAGATTTAATGAGTGTTCACTTTTGAACATGTTAAACTTGTCTCTAACAAGTAAGGGCCCATGAAAACTTTTGGTCCCCAACATTTCATTAGCCAAGTTGTCCCATCTGGTACCTACCAACATCTGCAAAATGCCAGTAATCTTTCGTTCCCCACTATCATCACGAAACTATAATCAGATTATATTTCGCCGGCATTCTCTACCAGTGTCATATGAGGTTACTGGGTCTTCCAATTTATCGATGGAGCTTAACGCCCTAAGTAAAGGAAAACGTACTCATTTTAGAACGTAATGTGTGAGTTCTGGAGACGCGGAGAGGTTTGCCGTTTTGGACCAAACTGTTGGTACGCTCATGGACCTATGCAGCTTCAAGCAGTAGAAGAAGGTCGAATGTTTAATGGTGATGTGAGCACAGATTGATGTTTTGAATATAACGAGTTTCCGACTTTCTGTGGTTGGTGTGAGTAATATTTTGAACTGTAAATAGCTGAAAGAAATCAGCAATTGTACTATAGTAGCGCGACTAGCAGCTTTGTATCATCTTAAATGCTTATAGCTCGTTAATCTATATTTCGCAGTCTTTATGAAGACTGCTGTCACTTTTGCATACCATGAAATTTTGAAGATGTGGACAACATTTTGAAAAATAGTCCGAACTACTTCAACAAAATTTTAACACTGCTATTTTGGAAAATGGGTTACGGTGATCAAACGAAACTGTAGCACGATCCTAGCAGGGGTTCTTAAATTTCAGCCTATTTCAGGTTTTGCGAAGCTCTGAATCTGCTGAGCAGATACAAATGCAGGACTCGTCCATGAACCAATTTACTCCCGAACAACAGCAATGGATGTATCTTTCGCAACAGGCGCAGGCAATCATACCTTTGGCGCAAAATGTAAGCACATTTTTGAGATTGCGAATGCCATTGTATCAAGTCGCATGCTAAAGATACTTGCTGCTCGACTGAGAGAAGTATATCAGAAAGTAAGGGCATCAGCGGGAATGCCAATGCCAGGAAGAACTTGCGAAGAGATTGAAAGGGAGCAAAAGTTTTACGCTGCAGCTGCACAACGTACGGTGAGAATTTTGAGAGGCAGATGCAATTTCGAAACTAAAATGTTTAGATCTTCATCGTTTAGGATTCTCTAACATCTTCAACGGCTTCTGGATCGTATATGTCGGGACCAACAACCCCTACATTGAGCGCTAACTGGTCGCCAATTGTTCTAGACGATGCACTTAGAGAGCAGGTATAGGAATGTGTTTCCAAAATCAACTTACTAATTGGATTTTCAGGCTTCTATGGATCTGCGCAGGATCGTTGAGGTCATAATAAATGACAAAGCAGAACTATACCTAATACCATTTAAGGAAGTAAGTAATAAGAATGTTTTGAAATCCCATGTGTGAATACTTTTGTATAGGAAGAGTGCCCATTATACAAAGCCGGTCAGTGCTCGCTTGATTCTGCCTGTTTCTTTAAGCATTCGGGAGAGAAGTACGAAAAGGGCAAAAGTGACATGAAGCTTGCTAGTGAGCTTCCGAATGGCTTGTAACAACATTGCGAAGATAGCTAGTGTTTACGTTGGATTTCCTTGTTAAGGCTTCCGCCTTTACCGAATTTCATTTGATAGGTAAAAAATGGCATGACTTATCTGAGCTTTGACCAGGAGGACCCTTTGAAAGGTTCATCTGTTTGTTTTTCAGCTGCTTTTAGGGCGCATAGTGTTGAAGCTTGTAAAAATTAAAGGCTGCTGGACTTCCTGGACAAAACTCGCGCCTCTAAATAATAAGCTCCTTCATTGTGCTTTCCTCTGTAATCCAAATTTGCGCTGTTTGTATTACTGTTAGCGTGCATTTCATTTGAAGTTTAATTCGTAAAATCAAGCGGGCCGATTTGTCTTCCACTTTGTCATTTTATTACCGGTGCTCTAAGGTCCTTTACAAGGAAGCCACAAGATTTTCACGTGTAAGATGTATAGGCTCTGAAGGTTAGACTAGCAACTCGCACTTGAGGACTAGTTGTAAAAGGTTGGTATTAACTACTGGGCCTTCGTTCTCTATATTACGAGTTCTGTTGAACGGTTACAATCTTCTTGTTGAAATTTAGATATATGTCTCAAGTTTAATGTTGATCGAGCTTGTTTTCCAAGTACTCAAAAAACTGCCTTCATCATTCTCTCAAATGCTGAGTGTAACATAAGTCAATCTTTCTTTGTTGCTCCAAACCATAGCTCTGCTTTCCTTAACCTGTGCATGAATAACTTTGTTTCAATTTCTATTTTTCAAAGACGGTTTTGCCACGTAATGTGCTTTTCGCGTTAAAGTTTTATCTGAGTTTTATCATGGCAGAGGTTGCTGTGTATTTTTTTAAAAGGATAAATGTTGTTTTGATTTTTTGATAAACTCAACTGGACTCACCACAGCCTTTAGCTCATCAAGCATCTTCTTTGTTTCCATATTCCATTTTTCGTTAATATCCCAAAGCACTAGCTTCGCGCCAAGTTTAGCGAACTAGGTAGAGGAGCTATTAGCTGCTATAAATAACTAATGAAAATATGTCAAGTATACCTCAATGGCCATAAGTCGGCCAAGTCCATTACCGGAACCAGTGATAAGAACTGTTTCGCCTAAAAGTGGGTACGAACATAAAAGTTCTTCAAAAGTTTTTTTTTTGTGAAATGCTCCCCACTTCCACTTGCATAAAACCTTATATATTTTGGTCATCCAAGGAGTATCATCGAGACTTCTTTCAAGTCTCACAGGTTCGTTCAAGATGGTAAGCGACAGTCAGATTCAAAAACCAACGAAATGGACAAAAGCTGGTAATGTTGGATTGATAGTTAAGTTTAGATATTCCTGGCTAAAGCTGCAGCTCTCGTAGGTAGGATTAAGGATTTGTTTCAGGCTCTTTTATAAATAGATTAAATTGGCTCCAGATTACTGAGAAGAAACTTGATTATATATATATATATATATATATATATATATTTCTTTGACTGTTGAATACT